GTGTGTGTGTGTGTGTGTGTGTGTGTATGTATGTATGTATGTATATGTATATATACCTGTAGAGCTAAAATCTTTCTACCTGATAGCTAATAGTTATGACATACTGTTCGACGATGTGTAATAGCATGTATTTCGTACACATGTACATAGGCATACATATAATCAATTTTCACAACTGTACATGTATAGGCATATTTGAGAAAATGTATATATATGTATATGTATATATACATATATATATATATGTGTGTGTGTGTACATATATATAAATATCTTTATATATATACATATATCATGTGTATATATATATGTATGTATATCTAGATCTAGATCTGTGTCTGTTAGAATACAAATATGTATATATTTCCATATATATATATATATATATATGTGTTATAATATAATATTAATATTCTATATATCTAGATCTAGATCTGTGTCTATTAGTATACAAATAAGTATATATATACATGAACATATGTATATATATATATGTGTGTGTGTGTGAGTGTTGATATATATATATATATTTGTATTTATATATTTATGCATCTATGTATATTTTTATGGTTGTGCGTGCTGTATGTATAAATGTGTGTGCTAAAGTGCGTGTATTTTTATATGTATTCGTTTTTATATTTCAAGAAGTAATATTATGCATATAGATTTACATATTTATGTGTGCGCATTGCATTCTATAAAAATATTCTCATGGACATCTGACACCTTTCTATGTGTGTATGAAACTATCGAATTAGTTGAGTATGTGTATATATATGTGGGTGGGTGTGTGTGTATGTATGTATTGAATAGTCAACAGATTTTGCAAACAGAAAATGGAAGTGTACACAAATTCATTTGAAGCAATTTATATAGTACATGATCATATACTGATAGTACAAGTATATGAAGACAACAAGTACGTACTTTCAATTGGCTTTTATTTTGACAACTTTTAGCCTTTATAGCTATATGCGGATCGGTACGGCAATAGCAGACACTTACGTGTTGCTAAGCATGTACGCACGACAATGGAAGGTCTTTGTTATACCATACAATGCCGATTGTATGCTACGGGCTATAGGTCAAAACTAATAACAAACTGTGTCTTGTATGAGTTAGAGATGGAGAAGGGAGACATGCGTGAAACCAACCTCGGTACCAAAGGACGCGCCCTAGCCGATGAAGAAGACCAACTAGAATCATCCCAGCAAAAGGTACGTACCAATGTGACTGAGGAGTTGCAAATTACAACCAGCAGGTAAAACGCCGTGTTTCCATCTGTGTACGCTGGCACCCGCACTAACTATATACATTAAGCGATGTAAACAATTTTGATACGCGCGAGCGGTTTTATCATAGAGCTAGGGTAATGACTTGGAAGACATCTGTATAGTTTATCGGTATAGATTTAGAAGTCACCTGTGTATTACAGGGCACACTCTTAGCTCCCATGGTACAGCACTTGCATAGTCAGCTATTATGCGCCTATGTTCAGAACCTCGGCGTTGTGCTACACGATATTGGGAGCTCTATCGGTGGCACCTCCGATGTAAATAAGGATAGAGTCATGATCCATGCACTGAGCCTCACGCGTGTGAGTTCAAATTTACCGAATATCAGGCCCCACTTGTGACGTCAGTATATGTGTGTTTTGCACGTGTGTAGGGCCTCTCTTTAGGTGTTCAGCTCCAATTTTAACCTTTTATGTGGCTCACCAAAAGTGCTCAGGAAATGTGGGTTGGATAGCTAGTGGGGTTGAATTAAAATGCGGATATCAACTCAATCCTATCCAAAAATTACTTAAAGGCCAAGCAGGGTACAAAAGAGCTTGATGGAGATTATGAAGAAGAAGAAGAGGATGAGGAGGGAAACGAGGTGCATGACAGTCACAAACAAAGTGACGAGGGAACGAAAGAGCTTGATGAAGATAAGGAAGCAGAGGTGCATGATAGTCACAAACAACGTGACGAGGGATCAAAAAATATTGACGAAGATAAGGACGGAGACGTGCATGATGGTCACAAGCGAAGTGACAAGGGATCAAAAAATATTGATGAAGATAAGGAAGAAGAGGTGGAAAAGGAAGGAGAGGTGGATGACAGCCACAAACAAAGTGACAAGAAACACAAGTCAAAGGTATGGCAGCAAGTCAGTCTTCTGCAATGTTACACAATCATCGACACTCCATGGCTATGATGTGCTTGATAGGCACTAGATATTATATGCATTCTGAACATGTATTGCATCTCTCAAAGTGTTAATTATACAACTCTACTTATATGTATATGTATGTGACACCCCGACGTGTCGAGGACACGTGAATGGTATAGCTGTGTATGATTGGGGTTGAGCTGCAAATGCCTACTAAATCGTATGCCAAATGCTCGCTAGGCCAAGAAGGAGACTACAGAGCTTTACGAAGAAGAGGAGGAAGAAGAGGAGGAAGAGGTGCACCACAGCCATAAACACAGTGACAAGAAGCACAAGTCAAAGGTGTGTGTGTAAGTCTGTGTTGTAGAATGCAGTGAATTCATCAATGCTACTCGCCTTTGGCACATACATTAGACACTCCAACTACACACCCTAGATGCACAGCAAGGAAATCCCATTTCAAAGTCAGACTGAGATTTATCAGTCTCTATTTTTCTATCGATATACTCGTTGTCAGTGATGTGGTGTGCCTAAACAAGTCACGAGAAAACTTTACGTCCGACCTCATACTGGCCTTCTAATACCATCCGTCTGGGTCCTACAAATGGCACTCTAGAGCACTGACGTGGATCACGCGGTACGAGAGTTCACCATGGAAGATCCGGCTACTATATTTGTAATGGGCACTTTCTTTGGCTTCCATACCTACCTCCACGAGGCCCATCTGTTCAACTACACCAAGCAGTGCAAGGTGCCCTGCCGCTTCATCACCAGGTAGGAGTTGAGTATATCGTAGCACTCATCGCACTCTAGTTAGTACATACATCTATGATAGATACTGTGTCTTTGTCATTACCAGATAAGTGATGAGTGGATCGTGGCACTCATTGCATACTAGTTAGTATATATCTATGGACACGATGCTATGGACACTGCTTGCGTCTCTGTCATCATCAAGAAAGAGTTGAGTACATCGTAGCACCCATTGCATTCTAGTTAGTATATATCTATGAACACGTTACTGTGGATACTGTGTCACTGCCATCAAGAAAGAGTTGAGTATATCGTAGCACCCATTGCATTCTAGTTAGTATTTATCTATGAACACGTTACTATGGATACTGTGCTTCTGTCTCTGGTATATAGACATGCTGGTGTCGAATCTCGTTGTAAGTGTATTGATTGCATATGCATATTGAAATATTTAAAGTCGATCTGTGAGTATGTATACTCACAATCCATGTAAAACATCAACAATACAATTCGGTTTCAAATGTACGCTAAACCCACGCTATTTGTAAACAGATTTAACCCCAAAGAGAAGAAGTGTGTAACTCATGCGCCCCGCGACGACACGAGAATACCATACGGAGACTGCGAGAACGCTTTGGAAGAAGCGGACATCGTTCTTCGTCATAAGCAGTGGAGATACTTAAGCGCAGCCGAGCCACACAAGGTAAAGTCTATACTGTACGTATAGTATACTGTTTTCTAGGGGTCTTCATATACCCCTAAAGTGCCCGTATCTTGGTTCTGTGCGTGTGCCTATGGCCTGTTTGTTAGTACGTTCTCTGTCGTAGTCGTTATGCTGCGAGTTTTGCCAACAAACATCATAGCGACACACAGATTGTCCACAGTATAAATGTATCTATAGTTCTATTTTTACCTGGATCTATAAACGCCGTAGCGACACACGGATTGTCCACAGTATAATGTATCTATGGTTCTATTTTTACCTTGATCTATAAACACCATAGCGACACACATAGATTGTCCACAGTTTAATGTATCTATGGTTCTATCTTTACCTGGATCTATAAACGCCATAGCGACACACACACAGATTGTCCACAGTATAAATGTATCTATGGTTCTATCTTTACCTGGATCTATAAACACCATAGCGACACACAGATTGTCCACAGTATAAATGTATCTATGGTTCTATCTTTACCTTGAACCATCGGGTCGCCGATGACTAACCTCTCCCGTCGATGCCCACGAAATTTCAGGAAGGTCAAAAGACGGCTTTCCTGACTATTGAAAGCGGACACTATGCACCAGATCTGTGGGACAACCGCCGCCTGGGCCAAATTGAGATGACCTTCAGGAAGAAGGCGGACATCCGCGTCAACTACTTCTCCAACGAATTCAGAAGTGTATGTTCAATTGGAGTGCATGGTGATTGCCGTGGTGTGCTTACTTGTGTGTAGTGATGTGTTGTTAAGGTCATCGGAATGATACATGCTACTACATGGATGCTTCTAGCTATAGGTTAAGTGACGATGTATGCGATGGAAGCCATACGACGCCACTAATATATCAACCGAGAATCGTTTTTCATCACCATTCTAATGATATACGAAGAGGCTACATTTATACATATATGTGCAGGCTACTAGAATGAATTAGTGAGAAACACGCGCGGTCATCTCGTTTTTCAGAAGCGCTCGATCGCTGACAAGCACTGCGACAAAGGCAATTCATAAGATCACTCCTATTCATGGGTTGTATCATGTCCATTCCCTGCAGATTCCCGATCTCTACCACAAAGTGTCTCATTCGCTCGTGAACAAAGCGAAAGTGGGCGGTGACATGGCACTGGCCACGGCGTTCATCTCCAACTGCATCAAGCACAGAGCCGACTATGTGCAACGCATGGAGAAGGCTGGCATGAGTGTAGATATGTATGGCCTGTGCGATGTGCTCAGAAACAAGGATGAGAATAAAGACATCAAGAAGTATGCGAAGGGAGGACGGATGAAGAAGGCGGACCGCAAGCAGTTCCTGAGTAGCATGCACAAGTTCATCCTGGCGTTTGAGAACAGACAGGTCGACGACTACGTGACCGGTAAGGTGGGAGTGTCGTGTTACCTCGTTTATCAATTTTGATACAAATGTGTAGTAGAGTACGTAAGCACCACAGGCATGAATGAGAGTGTGAACTTATTGCCTTTCCGAGTGTGTACCTGTGTGGGGTTGGTACTGTCGCACGCACTTCTACAAACCCTTCTGGAGTTTTTGTGCAGTGAAACTTCCAGTGCGCATGTCGTTCAGGTTGATTTTCTGTAGCTGTCAGTCAGTCTACTGCATTCTTCAACTTCTTCACCGTATGTACTCTATATATATATATATATAACGTATATGTGTATATGTATATGTATTTTTTACCAGGCTTACTTTCCCATCCCCAAGAGATGTGTGGAAGGCATCCGCAACTTTTATCCGCCACATTAGATATCTGAACCGTGGCATACATTTTCAAACAGAGAAATTCTTCCAGGCGCTCGTGTCAGGTGCGTTGCCTATCTACCGTGGAGCCCCGAATATCAAGGAGTACGTTCCCAATCTGGACTACCCATCATTCATCAATGCGGATGCCTTTGAGACCCCGGAGGACCTCGTGAAGTACATGAATAAGGTGGGTAGCTATATGTGACACTGGTTCTATACAATGCCACACACGCTTAAAACTATATGTATTGGAACACGTGGTGGATAGCATCATAATACACGAGATAGTCCGATTTGAGCTCCGCCTCGTGTGTGCCCTGCACGCGTAGGTTATAATTTTGTCCTCGAGAGCGGAAAAAGGGCTAGCGATGTGGAAGGTGTTTGGTGGGATGCCTACATGTATACGTAATTCAATGCGCATGCACACCAAATGCGGTTTGCTTATCAAATATTGAGCTTGGCTTCTTGGAAAGGTTTTGGATTGTCTTAGTCTCGAGCAATATGTTACCCATCTACTTAGCTATCCCTGATGCTTTCATTGAGATGATGTTGCACCTACAGCGTTTTTTGTATGTAGCTTCTGTATAACATAGCAACCACAAAGCTCCATACCACACGCCTCCCTGCCTCCCTGCCTCCCTTACGATGTGATGTTCAGTGTCGTCAAGTCAAACAGTCATTAGAATATTACTACTACTATGATATGAGTATCAGTACCCGCGGGCACTACCAAACCAACACCACGGATAGTCTGTGGCGTACATTGATTGACAATCGCTTCTGACCGCTTTGCTTGGCCTATGCCACATGTTTGGACCGCTGTAGGTGGTAGCCAATCAGACGCTCTATGACTCGTACTTTGAGTGGAAGAAGAAACCGTTCAGGAAAGAGTTCCTGGATTTGTTTACCTGGTCTCGCGATACCATTCCATGCAGGGTATGTTTTCTTCTTCTTCTTCAGATTTTGCCTAATTTACCCCGTATTACTACTTATATAACTGTTTCATATAATTGCGTGTTTCAATGTGCACAAACACATGTAGTCAGGTGTTCACTGGTAACGTTTTTTTAAAACGTACACAGGCGTATACTTTGTTGCGTGGGTTACTGCACTAGCGTCGTTCGGTTGGTTGTAATCTGCATTTGCACACCAATCAACCCAGTCTCTTAAGTCAGCACTGACACGATTTCTTCGTTGGCTGTTGTAGATATGTGAGTATGCTCAGAAGCAGTACGACGTGCAGGGCAAACGCTATTTGATTGACGGCCGTGACTTGGCCGAAGAAGCTCTAGTGCACTACATGCAGGAAACAGACGACAAGCATGCATGGAAGGCACAGGAAGGCTACAACTGAGTACCTATTACTCGGTCAAACGTACATATATAGCTTATATAGGTTAACAAGAGAATATTACACTACGATACGTGTAATTTAGCATAAAGTATAAAGATGAGCAACGTTAATAGATAGTTATAATTGTGTGGTCTTGTCAGATTTCTGATATGTTACTCAACCATATATATATATATATATATAGTGTGTGTTTGTGTATTTATATTTATATGTAGACATACGGATATTTAGTTGTATTTGTGTTTAAATAGATGTTTGTCTGTCTGTTTATATATATGTATATATTTATGCTTGTCTGTATATATGTCATTTTACATACACATATGTCTTATTTACATATACATCCAAATATATATATACGTATATACATACACATAGACATACATAGACAGTTCTTTGTGTGCGTTCCTATGTGCGCATGTATACAGATATGTGCTCATCCATACGTGCTCGTGTGTTTATGCATATGTGTGTACATACATAAACTCTCATATTCTTTTCATTTACATGTGTGTGTGTGTATTTATATATTGTATTTACGTACATAAATATGACGTGTATGTGCATATTTTTTACAGATGTGTCATATACATAATATATATATATATGGTATTGATATTTCAACTAGAAAATAATTCCTTCCTGTCGTGTGTATCTATATAAGCTACGTGGATACAGCCATTGGCATTACATTCGATTTTTGCGCATGAGAGTCTGCGAGAACCCGAGAGTGTCAGGCTGCTAGCTCCATCACCCCAATTCACAAATACTGAACAAGGCACATTGTTGCTCACGCCTGCGTACCACATATTATAGTGTGTTCGGAAGCTAAAGATTTTTAATATCCCATAAGGCCCACGATACTAATTCGCTAATAACAGGTGCTGACCAACCCATATGTGCACAACTGTGCAGTATCGAAGTCTTCAAGCATGTTATAATAGTTTTTAGAAGTTGAGCAACAGTTGGATAAAAGTACAACAAGAAATGAAAGATACGAATTTGGGATTACAGCCAAAGTGAACTGTTATGAAAAATTCTAGCAAACTTTGAAACTAGAGCGCAATGAAATGGACCGTTGAATAACAATATTTATTCGAGTTTAATCCTCAGCTGTAAACCCAAAACGAGACCAGATCCTGAAAATATACATTACGAAAAGGTGAGAACAAAATCTGGTCTGGTTCTGGGTTCTTCCAATCCCTATTAGATATGAGAGTGAAATTTCCGGGCCGCAACTTTGCGAGCCGGGTTCGCTAATGCGACCGGTGTACTTGGACTCGACACCTGTCCTAACTCACTTATGAACAGGTCCGTTTCATCTCGCTCTCAAATTAAAGTAGGATGGGGTAGGCTAATTCTAGAGTCGACGACGTTTACTTCCATAGCAACGACACTTTGTTGAAGTAGGGCTGGCTGGGGGATTGCTACCCTTCTGAGTTTTGAACGCCTTGAAAGCGGTTCAAACATGACCTCGGCGTCGAAGCCTTAGCAGCATAGCCAGTGCCATTAGTGAAAGCCTTGAAACCTCAATACAACCATCTGAAGATGAAGAACATTGATCCCACCGTCTGCGAGTACCGACTCACGACAATGACATAAAATGTTAAAAATAACAGCTGTTTTGAAGAAGAAGAAAAATAGGAGTACTTTACTTCTTTAACATTCGGGTACCACTTCCGGGAAGAGGGGTGTATCACCCCGCTCCCCGGATGTAGTACTTTTATACGAGAATGCTTGGCATTTTTCGCATGTAAGGACGTATATCATGCTCATAATATTCATCTTTATTTCTTTGTACATTATATGTTACAAGCGTGGACCAGCTATAACCCCTCATTTACATCTTCACGAGGAAGATGGCCGATGATAGACTAGACGATCGAGAACAGAACGGCGGCAATTCGATCCTTTTAGAGATTGGACGAGCAAGACAAACTCGTCGAGAAATCAAGGCGACCGGATATTGTTCCAGGCTCCGAAGAAGCCAGCGTATATCAGCTAGAATAACCGTTAGGTGACGTCTCCTCAGACAGTCATCTTCGCCAAACTTTGCGAGCCGGGTTCGCTAATGCGACCGGTGTACTTGGACTCGACACCTGTCCTAACTCACTTATGAACAGGTCCGTTTCATCTCGCTCTCAAATTAAAGTAGGATGGGGTAGGCTAATTCTAGAGTCGACGACGTTTACTTCCATAGCAACGACACTTTGTTGAAGTAGGGCTGGCTGGGGGATTGCTACCCTTCTGAGTTTTGAACGCCTTGAAAGCGGTTCAAACATGACCTCGGCGTCGAAGCCTTAGCAGCATAGCCAGTGCCATTAGTGAAAGCCTTGAAACCTCAATACAACCATCTGAAGATGAAGAACATTGATCCCACCGTCTGCGGCTGTCTTATTGCATCTCTATAAGCTCTGTCGTTATTTTAGCATCAGCTGGTAGGTCGAACTGTCAAGCATCAAGTCAACATGGTAAACATTCAAATGGCTCGCAAGTGAGTCCAAGGCTATTCACATCCGCACCAAGTAAATCCAGCGGCGACAATAACAAGTCCAGGGATGTAGTCTCAACGCGCCCGATGTGACTCATGGCACGATGTCTGTCGGCAACGAAATTTTGGTCGTAAGATGAAACAGATTGGTTGTTCTCAACACAGGCTATATCAGCGGTAGTAGCCATCACATCTGGATCCGATGAGAGACAATCATACTTCCGGCGTCAATGGGTGTCACACAGTCATCTGCAAAGGCAGCATACATTAGTGATAAGACTCGCTCACAAAAGGCATATACACCTGAAGTATTCAAGCACTTGCAGGAAGCAAACAAGAATGAACACGAATTGGCATTGTCCAAAGCATATCTTCCTCCCCCGCCGCCGAAATCCGTTCCAAGACCCCCCAACGATCCTAAGAAAACGGATGTGGATCTCTAGCCACTGTACTTATCTGTTCGATCCGAGGCAAAAACATGGAGAAAGCACCAGGCCAGCAAACGGCTACTACAGAATATCAAGTATGGGGTTCGACCCACATGGAACGAATTAGGACCTCCAGCGAAGAATCTGACAGGCTCATGGATATCGAACCCGGAAGTAACGGATTTGATGAGCCAGACCGAACTAACCAGGTTAGCATCGCAAGGGGTAATTCGGAAATATCCCGAATCAGAGGCTTACTTGATTCATCGCGCCTTCATGGTCCTGAAATCCGACGGCATTCGCGCCCGCCTGATTCTCGACCCCAAATCTATCAACTTGCACGCAGAGAAGTCTAGATTCCGAGCCGAAGGATTGGACAAGCTTCATCAAGTAGCTCGTCGGAAGGATCTGGCGATGAGTACAGACTTTCAAAACGGTATTTACGCACTCGCCGTCGCCGAACCCAAACTACGGCGGTTCCGAGATCACTTGGGACAGCTTTGGTGCTTCATGGCACTGCCAATGGGGTATATGAATTCCCCACATTGCTTCAACAAATTGATGAATGTATTTCGTCGGATCTGCCACAAACGACACATAAGAATAAATGAAGTTGCGATGTTGTACTATTCTGCTTCTGGGCTCCAGGCGCAGAATAGTAAAACATCGCAACTTCATTCAGCTAGTCGTGGACTCCCTTGGACTGCAGCTAGCGAAGGCAAGGGTCATTGGCTGACGCCAGTGACTCGGTTGATCTACCTTGGGTTAATTATCGACCTCCGCGCGAACACGCTCGAACTGACCCCTGTTTTCAAAGATAAAATGAACTCCCATACAGCGGCAATAGTCAGCAATGCATTACGCAACCAACGCCAAATACGAACCAAATTGTGGCAATCCTACCTCGAATGTCTTCATTGGGCGAGTTTCGCAATTTTGAATCTGAGACCCTTTCTAGCCGATCTACAGCGATCCACGGATTGGAGCAAATGAACTAAGCTCCGACTCTCTGGAGCGTAATTGAGTAAACTAGAAGAAAAAAAATACTCTTCTGGTGGAGCTCTTCCATCCCCGATCAATATGGTTACCACAAGCCAATACGGATTTGACCTCGGATGCCAGCAAAATAGAGTATGAAGCAAAAATTCACTTCAACAACAAGACCCACACATTTTCCGGGTAATGGAGTCCTCGCGAAGTACTCAGGCCAATTTCAGTTTTGGAACTGAAAGCACTAGTGCTAGGCTTAGAATACTTCCACACCCATCAATTGATCACCAGCCGGACGCACCTTCTGATGCTAACCGACTCCAGCACGGCCTTTCATGCCTTGAGAAAGCGCCGGAGTCAATCTAAGTTGATGAATGCACAGTTACGATGACTCACATGGTACTGCCACAACCAGCAGATTCACTGGCCAGTGGCCTTGGGCTACCTTCCAGGGAAATTATTGTGGGCATGCGACGACCTTTCGAGAGTGGTGGTCTGTTGCGTTATCATTAGACCGCCCGTGCCACTACACTACACACATCAGCTTTACCTCCGATGGGCAGTAGCCCTACCCCCCTCCAAGCGCACGTACGATGCCGGACACGTATTACCTGGACTTAGCGTTTCAAGTTCACCTTCATACGTTGCTCCCTTTCCAACCCAAATGGAAACAGAACGTTCCGCTGATCGCCGCGCCGGATGCTCTCCTGGGAGAAGTACTGTTGAAAGTCGATGCTCAATTACAACCGGCAGTGCTGATAGTTCCCTATTGGACACGGGCAATATGGTGGGCGAATATACTTCATCACATGGTGGATTACGCTTTACTTCCGCTTGGATCCGTCCACTATCCAGTCGACGTTCAACATGTCCTAGGGCGAAGCCTGCCTCCATCACTGTTTTACGACCCTTCGCACGGAAGCGATTTGTTGTGCCCTCCGTTAGACGTGAACCGAATCGTGACCTCCCCCGGGTGGTACCAAGAGCACGCGCGAAACGAGTGACCATCCGACAGAGCATGTCTGCGGATGCTATTACTCAATCTATTCTGGATGGTGGACTCGAGCCCAATACGAAAACCAGCTATGCGCGCGCTATGTGATATGTAATAAGCCGGGCCTCCACATTAGACTCTATGTTATAAACGTACTCTTAAGCAGTACGTAAATTATAAACGTACTCTTAATAGTACGAGGAACTTAAGTTTCATAAATGTACTCTTAATAGTACGAGAAACTTAAGTTTCCTAACTGTACTCTTAATAGTACGAGGAACTTAAGTTTCCTAAATGTACTTTTAATAGCACGAGGAACTTAAGTTTCCTAAAATGGCTTTTAATGGTTTTATTAATTAATACCTTTTCCATTTTACATATCCGATATTTGGACGAGGCCATTAAAAGGCCTCAGTAAAATACCAAGCATAAGAGTTGGTCTAGTTCTATTAATTGAACTATATTTACTTTCCAACTTTATTTATATCTGAATACTTCGGTAGCGAGATGGCTCAACCGAATATAGGTTTCTAGGGACTATCAACGTTACCTAGTTGATCCTCCGATCAGCCAACCAGATGTGCCATTCTGATGAAGGCTAAGTCGGTAATTCTTGATAAGTGGCATGTTATTGCTTAAGATAATAACTAAGGACATCAAGAGTATTATTTTATTTTTTTCTTCTAAAGATAGGACTTTATGAGTCTCTCGGATTCGCCCCAATGAAACATACCATAGTTTCTAATAGAGCGACAACGAAACACTAAATAAAATTCCTTCGGCGGAAACAGTACTGAGAGGATTATATATAGGCAATGTCTCAGCCTCACAATCCCTCACAGTATTGCTGTTTTCACGAGGCATACCTAATTTTACTAAATGTCTTATTTCGTTCATCTACTTTGATATTTTCGCGATACTTAGAATTTACCTACGTGTTTATTTATTCTAAGGCGTTAATATCGCCTTGAGAGACCGAATCTTACACATTTTAAAGTTAGCAAAGGTATTAACTACTTAGACTACTTAAACGTAAAGGTAGAAAACTACAACAATTTTTTCTTGTCCAAGCTAGTCCTTAAGAGACCAGCTAGCAGTCAGAATTTAAGATTATGACCAAGAAAGACAATACTTCTTCTAAGAAGCGTAGAGCTGAAAATAACATTTAACGCGACCGCAGAAGAGGACAATCAATCCGTAACCGAAATCATTGCTACTGGTATTAATAACCAGAAAAATACAACAGAGAAGGGTGAAGACACCACATTAAGAGAGATGTCCCCTGAAGTAAAAGCCCGCGGGCCAACTATTGCGTCTGCTTCGAAGCTTACGTTTACGAAGCCAAGAAGTCACGCAAAAGGATCGATTAAGACGATCCCTACTAAACCTGATGAGAACACTCAGAAGGATCTAACTCCAATTACGGAGAAAGGAGACAACCCGCTTAAGGGAGAGGATGAGAAGGAAAGCTCAGAGAGCCGACCCGAATCAGAATCAAACCAGCCATCGCACATATGTAAGTTGATCGATGAGAACACTGAACTTAAGAATTAGTTAGCCACTCTTAAGAAGCGAATGACCTCGCAGGAAAAGGCGGTGGTTAAGAAACCGCGGGAGCAGACCGATCAAGGGTACGTATCCCAGGCAGACCTCAAACGAGAGACCCCAATATACACGTCCACGTGAATCTACTCAATTTACACGCCCTGTTAAGAAGGTGCGTGCGGAGCACAAGGAACCTGCATACAAGCAAGTTAAGAAATGTGCTGATGAGAAATGTGGTTATAACATGTACCAGGTAACACCTAACGGCTACTGGAACGGAAAGCATGCCCAATCTTGTAAACACTATCTTACAAAATGCGATAAATATGAGAAGACCAATGGCTACCACACTAAATCGTGTAACGTCAGACCCGACATTAAGCTGGACTGACGATACTACCGGGTACAATCGTTACACAGACAGTACAACGACTCTTTAGATGAGCGTGTCATAATCCCTGTATATTGCAATGGAAATAAAATCCTTGCGTTGATTGATCCTGGTTCAGATATTTTATGTATATCCGATCGCTTTGCATTAATGAAAGATATCGAAAGGAGAACACAAACAACTCACCTCATTTTAGCTGATGATAAAACTGCTAAGTGTGATACCATGGCCACAGATATTAAAATCTCCCTGGCCGATGATAGGAATATCACTACCCAAGCTGTGATAGTTAAGATGTCACA